AGTCCATTACCCTCTGCCTGGGGGAGAGACTCGAGCGAACCGCTGAGCCCTGTGACCGGTTCAGGGTCTCGGACTCCATATAACGCTGTATCGAGCTCGTGGTTGGGACCTTCGGCGCCCCTTGCTTTCCGGTCTTCTTGCGGTTCATCCTCAGTTTTCCTCTGCAAGGGATGTCTATGTACAGGTGTGCGGGCGGATAGCGTGGAGCTCACGCTAAACACGACCAGCCGCCATTACGATCAGGGCACGCCCCAAAGTTTCAGTAATTAATAAGATATTGCTTCTATAGACTCGACCTCCCCATCTCAGAAACTCCCTCTGTCCACCATTCTCTCTACAATTAGTGTCCCAAGACACCAAAAAAGGATCCAGGACCTGAGGGTGTTTGCAATCGAATACATCCCCACACACCTATCTCTTTCAGAACATTTTCATTCACTATGTAGAAGAGAAACGTTCTGGATTTACAAACTTAACACCTTAACACCCAATGGGCTGAATGAAGAAATTGAAATACATACCATTCTCTAGTGTGTCTCCATTCATCCTAACACCATCAACTAGAACAACATTTTGTAGGCTATGGAGGATCACAAACACTAATAGTGGTGGGTTAGCACCCTGACCCGGATGTCAGTTTGCGCACGCACCGAGAAGATCCTGTTATAATAGGAAAACCGCCATGCCCTGGCGCAGAATTCATGAGCTGTCCATAAGTTCCCCAACTGGTTCTTTAGGCGACCCAAGTGGACCCACATGTTAATTGGTGCTACCCCCAACATTCATATCGGGAGCAGGTAGTCACCTCATAATAGTTTTAGTGCTATATTTCTCCTTTTCCATTGGACAATAAACACCAATTTTTATTCAAATAAATTGTTTATTCAATTTTTTAATCAACTTTTTATTAATTTTTTTAATAAATTTGACATTTTAATAAATTTTTCATCTACATTTTTTTCTATTTATAATGAAAAATATATTTATACACTTGTTCGTATTCACATCAGGATGTAGGTCCTCCACCTGTCAGTATGTTCCATATTCTATGTAATATAGAAGTGTAAATAAATTTGCTTCAGTATCAGACCAATCAGTTGTCTAAACAGTAATACCCAGTTTTAGTAACCTTGTACAACAGTTAATTTAGTGACAAAGATCACACACGGGCCCCAGAATGACAATCAGATCTGAGTGCGAGAAATCTTGATGAAACATCCACTGAGTGCCCTCGAGACTGATAGTCCGCCTCCCGGCGTCTAAGACTATCACGGCACCCATTCGGACTTGACTCCTCCCCCCTGTCAACTTCAAGATACATTCAGTTTCCCGCGGCTTATACCGCTGTAAGGCTTGACAAAAAGGGTTACCCTCGAAACGCGTAGCGGCCAACTCATCCTACATGTGTGTTACACAGCTCAGTAAAATCTCCCTCGGACATACGAGCACTGACTGACCCCGTTGACTGGACCCCCCATTGGTCGCGTCGCACACGACACTGCTCAGTGCGCATTCCAGCTGCCGGGCAGTTTTCTCTCTTCTGCTCCAGCTGCCGTGGCTCGGCCTGGCCAGCCGAGGACGCGGCCTGGGAATATCGTGGACATTCTAGACCTTCCAGTCCGGCATTACACAGACCAATATCAGTGATCTTACGTGATCTCAGGGATTCTGGGTGCCAATCCATGACATCTCAACTATAAGTTACATACCTACCACCTCAATCTAAACTATTCAGCCAGTTATAGCAGGCTGCTCAGCATTCATTTATCGTATGTATTCTAGGTAGTTGCGCTCTTCCATGTATTGTTTCTGATGAATATGTTGCACGGGGCTCCTCTCCCTGGTTTTGAAGAAATTATGCACACCTTCTCCCATAAAGTCAGCAAGTGAGAGACTTGACCATATTACAGCAGTGCGCTTCCATGTATTTTTGTTTCATATAGATCATCTATCCACTCTGCCTCTCCCTCTGTGTTTCCCAACAATGTTATCAGATGGGCAAACCTCCTCCAGATACCAGTGGAGGAGGTTGACCACTTGCTTCTCCAGGGATGGCTTTCGCTTAGAAGGGCTACCATGGAGGGAGATCCAGTTTAAACTAATACATAGAGCCTTTTATGCCTTCAATCTCAGGTACACTAATAACTTAATCTGGCTTTGTTCCTCTAGTCAGCAATTTTGGTGGCTCTGTGTCTATTTCATGCACTCACTCCATCCTCCCCCTCACTCACCCCTAGACACCTCTCACGATGGGAGCATTTGTGTCTACTGGCGGCCAAAAAAGCCATACTGATAAACTGGCTGCTACCCTCCTCCCCCTCTTTAACGTTCCTGACGGAGCTCCTCCACAAATTAATGGCACTAGACAAGTTAGAGGCCCAGTTTACTCATGCTCACACCAACAAATTTTTTACCACTTGGTCCTTGTTCCTTTTGACTGAGTTATCCCCTGGGCAACTGAAAGAGTTGATGCTATTATTCCAATATACCGAGTGGTACCTTAAGTCAAAGTTGGCAGGATCATTAGATGCCTTTAGATGTTCTTTAAGACCTCATGATGTGATTCACCCCTTGCACGATCTGTTACGTATTCTCTTAGTTACGTAGTCTCTTAGTATGCATATTTTCTGATGTATGTTTACTGTGTTTTTCTATTTTGCACTTTCTATGGCTTTACAAATGTTTTGTATCTGTATGACGGGTTTGTACTCGTAACTTTTTCCAATAAAAAAAATGATATGCGAAAAATAAAATACACAAATGCAGCATTACAGACATAAAGTTTACTTCAGAATAAAACGGTATACAAATTTTTTTATATCGCACTGGAACGCAGGGCATTTCAGTACCGCGCGTTCCAGTGCGGGCGATCACACTGCAGACGGGAGGTACATTTGGGAAGCCATGTTCTTGGTACTGCTTTTAAAAGCAGGTGATGGCTGTGTGACGACATGGTGATCAGTTTATGAGTTAAATGTGTATTGGTGTTGGGTTATGTTTAAGTGTGTTATACTGTGTAACCTGGTTATGAAAATACTGTCAGCACCACCCCTCGTTATCTCCGTTTGTACTCTGAAAGAGCTCAGGACAATGACATTCTGGCCAGGCTCCTGCTACGGCTGTCTGGAGCTCTTTAACAGGTGGAACCCTGTGGTGTTGTGTAGACAGAATGTCCAGGGAGGGGAACGGGATGTGATGGGATTATAATTTTATCTGCTCACTTTCTGTATAAAAGGTTGCACAGTTTCTCAATAAATCAGAGTTTGTTTCACCCTACAGTTGAGTCTCGACCAGTGACTGGGGAAACTGGGAGCTAAACATCAGAGGGTTGCAATATCTCCTGAACAAGGAAGAATACAGCGGCGGACATACTCATCCTGAGTACTGGGGTCCGTCACAGGCTGTTAATGTACAAGTGATCCGGCGTTCAGTGGCCGCTGCTGTCTTCCCCGGGCACCGCTGTCTCCCCGAAGCAGCTCGGCGGGTCTCCCCGAAGTGATCGGAGAGAGATTCAGCGGCTTCTATCTCTCCTCCGATCACTGGACCTGGACGTGATGTGTATTATATCACTTCCGGTGTCACTGTACACAGTCTCCGGCTCTTAGAGCCAGGAGCTGAAGCTGGGGAAGCAGATCTCGGATTCCTCGGCTTCTTTGGGGTTCCTAGGTGACATTAGGGGTCTGAAAGACTCTTGATGTCCCCATAAAGAGGACCTGTTACACCCTATCTGCTGTTACATAGGGGGCTTGTTAGCGCCCTATGTGATAGCAATAGGGTTAGTGTAAAAAAAAAGAAAGTGTTTAAAAGTTATAAAAATTAAAGTAACATAAAAGAAATTTTTTTAAAAATGCAACCCCCACGTGCATGCACATACACACGTCGGTGCGAAAAGGACAATTGCGCTACACATGTTATATGTTGCTGCGAGCGTCGGAGTGAGAGCAATAATTCTAGCGCTGTCAATCACTGTTAGCACTAAGGCCTCATTCACACTGCCGCTCATATACGCACGTATTGTACCATTTCATATAGTGCACGCATAGACGCTCGTATATACGCGCATAGACATTCGTATATACGCGCATAGACGTTCGTATATACGCAATATACAATTTTGCTTGCGTTGTGTGTGAATGAGGCCTAAACTGATGAGCGGTAAAAGCTTTTAAAATGTTCCCTATGGGAAATTTTGGGTATTTAAATTTGTGCGGCTTCACGGGCGAACGCAATTTTAAGGCTTGACATGTTTGGTATCTATTTACCCGGCGAGACCCCGTCTTTTATATTTTACCAAAAAATTGGGTATTATTTTATGTTTCTGTGCACTAAACTAGTTTATTTTTTCCTAAAAATACCGGTTTGATAAACATTTGCGCAAAACCGTGCCATGTAAAAAATTGCAACTAGCATTTTTTTATTCTACAAGGCCTCTGCTTTCAGAAAATATATAATTGTTTGGTGGTCTGAAGCTGTTTTCTAGCCAAAAATTTATATTTTATCATGTGTACGCAAATGGTAAGAAAATGCCCCGGACAGCAAGTGGTTTGCATTTTTAATTTTTATTTATTTAACTTTTTTTAAACTTTTACTTTACTTTTTTTACTTTATTGCTGGGAGCAATAGCCAGCCTGCTATTGGATATTTCAAATTGCAATAGCAGGCTGGCTATTGCATCTGCCTGTTGTCAATCAGCAAAGGAGGGGCCAGAAGGAGAAAGTTTTCTATCAGGTCCTCCCATTCTGATTGACAGCAGGCAGTGGGTAGGTGCAATAGCCAGTGTCCTATTGGCTATTGCAATTTGAAATATCCCCCAGCAGTCTGGCTATTGAAACCCATTGTAGCAGCGGCAAATAATCTATGATGAGAATCGTTACCAACGATTCTCATGATCGTTTTTAATCGATTTTAATCAAATAGCTGTTGCAGTTCTATTATTAAGTATTCTTATATTACATGATGGTAAACAGCACATTTATTATTATTTTTTTATTTCAAGGTCCACTTGAAGCTATTACTAAGCCGACAGTTTACAGATTTATGCAAACACAATGCCACATGGAAGACTGAAGGTTTCCCATGATGGGCTGTGGGACAAGCAAAGTACTTCCTGAGCATCCAAAGAACATTCAGCTGGACTTGGTAAAAAAAGTGGAGCCCTACCTAATGCCAAAAAATGACCAATATAAGCATTTTATTACAGACCATGGACGGATAGAGACCAAAGGAGGTTCTCCAACAACACAATACCCTTGTGGCTTCCAGCATGGCCACTCAGAAACTTCTGATCCTCGAAGACATAAAGTAGCTAAATACAGGGCCAAGTTTGACCAAAGAGTGACTGCAAAATATGATATTAAGGCTCTTATTGGTAGAGGAAGTTTTAGCCGTGTTGTTAGAGTCGAACATAAGGCCTCCAAACAACCATATGCAATTAAAATGATTGAAACCAAATACAGAGAAGGGAGGGAGGTATGTGAGTCAGAACTTAACGTGCTGAGACGAGTGCGGCATACAAATATCATCCAGCTTATTGAGGTCTTTGAAACACAGGAAAGGGTATATATGGTAATGGAATTAGCTACAGGAGGAGAACTTTTTGACCGCATAATAGCCAAAGGCTCCTTCACAGAACGAGATGCTACTCATGTGCTACAAATGGTTTTGGAAGGTGTAAAGTACTTGCATACTCTTGGGATCACACATAGAGACTTAAAACCTGAAAACCTCCTATATTATCATCCAGGAACAGATTCAAAAATTATGATTACAGACTTTGGTCTTGCAAGTGCACGAAAGAAAGGAGATGACTGTTTAATGAAGACAACCTGTGGAACACCAGAATATATTGCACCTGAAATTCTGGTAAGAAAGCCTTATACCAATTCTGTGGACATGTGGGCACTTGGAGTTATATCCTACATTCTTCTCAGTGGAACTATGCCTTTTGAAGATGATAACAGAACACGTCTGTACCGGCAAATTTTAAAGGGAAAATACAGCTACTCTGGAGAGGTAAGTGCTTCACAATAATTGAATGTCTCTAATTAAAAATTATTTTTCTCCTAGTCGTCCTACAGGAAATTACTTTGAATCCACTCTCACTATTGGAAGTGCTTGAAAGCACTTAAGGAAACCTTTAATTAGAGAGGTGCTGACCTCCTTCCAAGGATATGTGTTGCTTGGATGGCTCCAATGTTAAAAAATAGACAAACATTTTGTTTACATTTTAAATGAGAAATGAAGCCATTTTTATCCTGAAATAAACATTAGAGTGTATTACTAATGAGACAATAGCCACAAATACTGTAGAGTGGCTGGACAGCATGTAAGCAGCTTGATTAGGCCACAATGTAAGGGAGAGTTGGGTCTGGTTTTATCTTGAAACAAACATTATTAGTATTTTTTAAAGATATAATAGCCACATATTAGGAGACCACCTTATTCCAACCTAAACATACCTGCTCATGCATTAACCTGAGGATGGTGCAGTTTTCACTTTCCTTTAATTCAATCGTTAAAATTAAATTCTGCAGGTTTTCTTGAAGAGCACAAAATCCTTCCTTCTAATAGCATAAGCTAATGCTTATGAAATATTAACTAGTTATGTTACATTTTAAAATATTAGGGTGAAAGTGGTGAAATACAGTATATGTATGGCTATTCGTATTTATTTATTTTACTACATTCTAGTCTTCTAAAATATTCAACCAAAAGTAATATTTCTTTTTGTGCTGTTGACAGTTATTTTTCAGGTTTGTCTTTCAATAAAGTACTAGAAAACAATTTTTATTAAAAAAAAATAATGTTCAAAATTCTACAGTCTACAAGAATCAATGCTTACCAAACACTTGTGTGTAGACGGGTGCATTTTATTTTTGTGCTACTGACATGTTTTTTTTAGTTCTATCTTTCAATAGCTGGTAAAAGCTTGAGATGATGAGGGCGGCCTCCCTTGCTTCTCTTGTCCAAACACCCCTGGTATTGGTGGACAGAGGGTGTAGGGACTGAGGAGGGGCACGAGTGCCTGATGAAGTGGATACACCCGGAGCTGGAGATGCAGGTGGACTAGTCTGGAGGAAGATGATGGCAGTCACTTCCTGGAATATGACGTCAGCAATGGGTGAAGCTGGCACCAGAGCAGATCCGAAGTAAGGAACAAGCTGGGTCACGATCAAGCGGGCAGCGAGGTACAGGATCAGCAAACAGAGGCAGCGTCAAGAGCAGGCCTGGTCGGTAAAGTGCAGGCAAAGCAGTGCAGAATCAGCACGCAGAAGGAAGGTCCACATCAAGCCAAGGTCAGGGGCAGGCAGCAATCGGCAGAATCAGGAAACACAGGAAGCAGGGCACTAGCTGAAGAACTCTCAGCAAGGAAAAGGTACAGAGCTCCTCCTTAAATAGTCCGTCTGGCGCCAAGGTTCAAATGGGTGCTCCTGTACGTGTGTGCGCATGTGGCATAGTGCACGTGCAATCCTTCCACTAAAACATGTCATATGCATGCGCGCATGAAAATGTACAGCACTTCTTTGACATTGCCCCCTCCCAAGGGGCAGCCTCTGGATGCCCAACTGCCTTCTTTTTCCCAGATACATATTAAAGAAGGACTAGATAAGCCTTTTAGCATTCACGTTAGATTCAGGCTCCCAAGAATTCTCCTCTGGCCCAAAACCTTTCCATTTGATCAAGTATTGCACCTCACCTCTGTGTCTTCTGCAGTCCAGCATGGATTCTGCTTCACATTCCTCTTCATCAATGATAACAGGTTCAGTTGAACTAGATGTATGGTTAGGAAATGGATCTAATACATCAGGTTTGAGTAGAGAAACATGAAAAACAGGATGAATCTTGAAAGAATTTGGCAACTTTAATTTGTATGCCACAGAATTAATCTTCTTTTCCACAGGAAATGGCCCAATATATTTAGGACCCAGCTTCTTTTGAAGGGCATGCTAGCTTCAGATTAATTGTAGATAGCCTGGGCGTGGCTTACGCATGGCGCTGGACGGTCGCACTTAAGCAGAGCTCCCATCTCAGCCCTCGAAAAACTGCCGTAAGACGACTAAATCTTCACCTGACCCATCATCCATCTAGACACAAACATGGGACGGAAAAGCCAACGCTCATCTGGCTCGAAAAAGGCGGCCTCCGGTACCTTTGAAAAGGTACTTGATCGCAGACACGAGATCCTCACAGGCACCCTCACGGCCTACCACGCGTCAGGCGCCTGCGGATCGATCTAAAGCACTTACTCTCCCGGCCACGCCGCAGTCTCCGGGCTCCCCAGGATCCACCAGCGATTCGGAAGCTTCTACCCTGGCAACGCTACAGGAGGATCTGCAGGTGTTGGACGCCATGAGAGACCTCCCAACGAAGTCGGACCTGGCTCACATGTTCCAGGTCCTGGAGACTTCGCTCAAGCAAGACCTATCCAGCATGAGAGCAGATCTCTCACATATCCTCACCAGGGTGGAGGAATCGGAGACTAGGCTGGATGACCATGACAGAGCTATCAGGGAACTCCGTGAAGCAAACTGGCGGATGGCCATGGGGCAGCGGAATCTCCTCTACAAGATGGGAATAATCTGCGGATTCGGGGCCTACCAGAGGCTACGGCCAACGCGTAGCCTCCCTGCAAGGTATATTCAATACTATCCTGGGGAGACCGGTCTCTACACCCATACACTTTGACAGGGCCCACAGGGCACTGCGCCCACGTAATCTGTCGGACTCGGCTCCCCGAGATGTTATATGCAGATTTCACAACTTTGGGTATAAGGAAGAAGTGTCCCGCAACCTGAGGGGGATGTCAGCCATTGACTTTGATGGAGCCCAGCTCCACATATACCCGGACCTGGCCCGTGAAACCCTAGAACGCAGACGAGCCCTGCGCCCTCTATTGGACCAACTGAGGAAGGACGGGATCATCTACCGTTGGGGCTTCCCGGCTAGCCTGATCGCCCGGAAAGGTGGCAGGTCTACCACCTTGCGCTTTCCTGAGGAACTGGAATCCTTCTGTTCTGAGCTCAACATCCCTGTACCTGAATTACCTGGCTGGGTCTGCGAAGTACCGGGCCCATCATGTGACGCGACTGCAACTTGGCGCACTCCATCCAAGAAAAGACGTTCTGGAAGACCAGAGGCATCCGCAGGACAAGGGTGAGACGACACAGAGTCCTCATGTTCTTTCTTTTACCAAAATCAAATTGGCTTTCTTACCAAGACGCTTAACAGCCTCCTGGACTTTGCATCAGGGGTCCTACTGGTGGGAGGGGACTTTAACCTGGCATTGGAACCGCACTTGGACGTATATTCGGGCCGCTCAGCACTCTCCTATAGTCAATTATCCTGTCTCAAAACATTCTTACACAAAGCGCAACTAATAGACACATGGAGGTTTCACAACCCGGCTGGCAAAGACTATTCACATTATTCCGCCACCCATAAGATTTACTCGCGCATAGACATGATCTTTATTGATCATCATCACCTACACTTGGTCGAATCGACCTCAATAGCCCCGAGGACGTTATCGGACCATTCCCCGGTTCTGACTTCCCTCACCTGGCCATCCTTACCAGTTAAATCCAATAATTGGAAATTGAATGAATACTTACTGAATTGCCCCGTCTCCAGAGCACAGCTGGCGGAGGACTTGCAACTCTATTTTCAGCTAAACTCCTTACCTGGATCCCCGCCGGCTGTGGTCTGGGAGGCGCACAAAGCTGGGATCAGAGGTAGATTGATAGAACTGGGAGCAAGGAAAAAACGGGAAGCGGAACGGGAAATGCAGACCCTACTGACACAAATAAATACCTAGAACGCCTTCATAAACGCTCTTTACAACAGGCACACCAACAGTCGCTCTAAAAGTGTAGGGAGGACCTGAAAAAAATTCTAGATCAAAACACAGCCCGTAAATTTATGTGGATGCGCCAGTGAAACTATGAGTGGAGCAACAAACCCGGGAGACATCTGGCCCGCTCTTTGCGCCTTAAACAGTCATCAACGTTCATTCCCAAAATTAAGACTAAGGGGGATAAACTGGTACATCTCTCCCAAGACATTGCCAGGGTGTTTAGCGAGTATTATCGCACCCTATATGATGTAGCAGACACTCAGACGCCTCCTACCGTTGGGCAGCAGCACAGGAAAGTTCTTATAGATCAGTACTTAAGTAAGGCTCACCTCCCCACACTCCCGGAGGAAGAGTTGGAGGCATTGGAGGTAGACTTTACAGAGGAGGAGTTTGCGAAAGCATTACATATGATGGCTACGGGCAAGGCTCCTGGCCCAGACGTGTTCACTCTTACATATTACCGCACTTTCAAAGATATTCTGCTACCTCCTCTGACCTGCTTTGCCAATTCTCTCTCCTCGGGAGGTGAGTTACGGAAGGAAACAAACCCTTCTCCTCCCTGTGTAGCTCACCTAGACCCTCCTTCATGGATGTGTGGCGATATGGGCAGCTGTCGCATTTCGTGGGACAGCTCCCCTCACCACTGAGATCCAAACGGGAGCTGAACCCATTGGAACTGCTCTTCCCAGCAGATTCAGCCCCTACTAAGAGCATCTCCTCCATGTACAATGTCTTGTCGCGTTTGGATGCCTCCTCTCACCCGCCCTATTTGGCGATCTGGGAAAAAGAGCTGGACAGCCCCCTTACTGAGAGACGCAGAGCACGTGTTCTGGCCTTCTCAAGAGGGGTGAGCAGATCCTCATGCATCCAGGAGCTCCACATTAAGCTGTTAGGTCGGTGGTATTACACTCCTCAGAAACCCCGCTGTGTTGGAGAGGCTGTGGACAGGTGGCCATGGATGCTCATATATGGTGGCAATGCCCAAAAATAACGCCCTTCTGGCGGCAGGTAGTTGAGGAGATGTTCCACATACAGGGAACGGAGGTGCACCTTATCCCCTGGGAGATGCTGTTTCATGGTGCAGAGGGATCAATGGGCCGCTATGCTCGTTCCATCACACCACATTTACTCAATGCAGCTAAAGCCTTAATTCCGGCCAAATGGAAGAGTGAGTCTGCTCCTACCCTGTTAGAGTGGTTGGACAGGGTGGAACAGATTTACTGCATGGAGGAACTTACTCTTACCGAACCTGACCAAATAGAACACCTATAGAAAACATGGGCGTGTTGGGTAGCATATAAGACGACCCCCGCATACCTCACCAAGAAGAGGGTATAGGTTCAGATGAGTCTGCGACCATAAGGTGTTTGGTTAACAAAAAAATTAAAAAAATTAAAACAAAATTCTGTAATAGAAAACACGGGAAAGACCTAGGTCATTGGTGTTCAAACCAGGGACATACAGCTCACTGACTAGGCCTGGGCGACACGGGCAACAGCACAACAACTGTATAACTTATGACAGATCATATATATTATGTGTAATGTGAGAAATGAGCTTACATCTTCCCACCCCACCTACCCTTCCACCCAGTTAATCCCCCTCCCCCATACCTTCCCCTGCCTCCCCGCAATCAAGCCTTTTAGGCTCAACGCTTATTATGCGAATGCAAGATTTTAGGATAAGTTTCATGTGTTGAGCAAAATACGTACTGATATATGTATTAAGATCACTCTATGGCTGATTGTTTCCCTTAATGTGTGTTTATGTGTAATTCTACTCTTTGTACTTTTGTATGAAAACTTCTTTCAATAAAAACTTATTATAAAAAAAATTGTAGATAGCCATACCCGATCCCCAGGGTTTAGATTTAGTTCTCTACGCTACTTATCAAATTTATTTTTTATTATCTTTCTGTGCCTTTCCATTCCTCGAACCTGGATGGTAAGTAATGTGGAAATTAAAGCGTGAAAAGAACAATGTCCATGCCTATACCAGCGGCAGAAATAACCAGTCCCAAGAATTGAAAAGATGTTTGCTCAAACTCGCATTTCTCTGACCTTTGTGTATAGCCCATGAAATCTAAGCCTGGCAAGAACCTGCTTAACATGCTTGTGGTGCAGATCCAGGGAAGAGGAGAAAATGAGAATGTCATCAAGATAAACTTACCATGAAGAGATCTAAGAAGTCACGGAAAATGTGATTCACAAAGTGTTGAAAGGTGGCTGGGGCATTACACAAGCCAAAAGGCATGACCAGGTACTTGAAGTACCCAAAGCGAGTGTGAAAGGCTGTCTTCCAATCATAACCTTCACGAATACGGACCAGATTGTAAACTCCCCGGAGATCCAATTTAGTAAAACTAACAGCTAAAAAAAGTTTTTGAAATAATTCTGGAATTAAGGGTAGAGGATAGCAGTTTTTAATGGTGATTTAGTTTCTGTAGTCCACGCTTGGATGCAAGGTGTGATCTTTTTTCTCTATGAAGAATATTCCCGCTCCAGCTGGAGAAGTGGATGGGCAAATTAATCCTTTTTTTTAGATTGTCCTCGATGTAGTCCTTTTTAAGGCTTCCAGCTCAGGTTTAGAGAGAGGAAAAATTCGGCCAAACTGAATTTCTGCCCCTGGTAGTAATTCGATAGGTCAACCATAAGATCAATGAGGAGGAAGGGTATCAGCTCCTTGTTTGTCAAACACGTCTAGGAAAGCATGATAGGCCTGTGGGATCATTTGATGCAGTTCTGTAGACATTACGTTTAGTCCAGCGGAACGTACGTAGGGCGCGGCATCTGACGTTATTACTTCAGTGGAGCCGGACGGATGGGAGCTGTATTGCATCTGCTGTACTCAAGTACATTGAGGGTTGGGGGGCGCACTGGGGCCCCGGCGTGCATTTTTGGTTGCTGGGCCTCCAGTGCATCCCTGCACCTTATTAGGAGGAGTTGGCTACCTCCAGGTACAACTGCATGTAATTTATCGACTTCATTAATATGCTCACACTTGGAGACTCGGATACATAGAGTTAGGACCACACTTTGCAGAGGTGCCTTGGCGCGGCAGTGTGGCTTCTACATATTTTTGGCCAAAAGTTTGTTCAACTAAAACCTCTGATTTTAACGCATACTGTTGACAGGGCAATTTGTTTGGTTGCAGGCTGGCTAGCAGGTTGAGGCTGGGGAATTTTTGTGTTTTGTAACATTGAGGGAATCTCCTGTGTGAATCTTTTATGCTGGCTATGTCTTGCCATTGTGTGAGTACCTGTTTTTATCTAATACATTTTATATTTTTGAAAGGTATGCACTATGGGTCTTTTTGTTTTGTTTCTTCTCGATCTGATTAGCGTATCTACGACCTGAAATTATCTATTTTACTCTGGTATTACGGGCCTCCCTCCCCTTCTTAAGAAGGGAAAAGCGCTTGAGACCTACTCTGTGGGTCCACAGACCCAGGTGAGCACTCTTTTGTAATTTGTGCATTCACTTGGTGGAGGTGAAGGATTATCAAACAGTCTGTTGTTCTGAACACTATGAAGTCTGCTTTGGAGGACTGCTCATGTTGTTTGTACACATTGCATCGCATTGGTTGATTTGTTATCTGCACCGCATCGTTTGATTAGTTTTAGACTTTATTTCACTGTGTATGTTATGTGTTTTGAGTTCAGCCTATAACTATTGTTGTATATTTCACTGTTTATATTTGATTGTTTTTTCAGCTTGGCACATTACTTCTCTGACACATTACTTGAAAACAATATACATCAAAATATTATTCAAAATAATAATTCTATGGTCTATGAAAACTAATGCTTACTAAACTTTTAGAAGTGTAGCTATGTGCATCTTCTTAATGTTGTCTATTCTTTATTCTTCTTTTTTTTTAATGTTTTTTAAACCTGCAGCCTTGGCCCAGTGTCTCAAACCTGGCAAAGGACTTTATTGATCGCCTGCTGATGGTGGAGACCAGTGAAAGAATGACAGCATCCCAAGCTCTTAAACATCCCTGGGTTGTAAGCATGGCTGCATCTTCATCTATGAAAAATCTGCACAGGTCTATTTCTCAGAACTTGCTCAAGAGGGCTTCATCCCGATGTCAGAGCACCAAGTCTGCACAGTCTGTTCGTTCCAGTCGCTCTAACAAGTCAACTAAGTCCCGGAGAGTGCGAGAACGAGAACTAAGGGAACTCAATTTGCGTTACCAGCAACAATATTATGGATAACATTGTTCAAGTAAAAATGTATTTTGTGTTGCCAGTGACTTTTGCCATTTTTGTGGTTGGAAACTTTGCAGTCTATTCAGTTATTTTATTGCTTTTTTTAAATTGTTTATTGAGATAAGGAAGTATTTATTACTTCTATGCATTCTTTCTTAGCTATCTGTTGATCTAAAATGTTCTTGGTCAAGCCCTTCATCCTCCATGTCCTGCAGCAGTCGCTGTTTGGCATTTGTCATTGAGCATTTTTTTCCTGGAGAAATATTAGAGATTTTTTTTTTAATACAGTCCAGGGATTTGTTTGCAAGTCCTGGAAGAGGAAAGAAGTGCCTGGTTTTGGACTTTTTTGCCAATTGTATTACTGAACACCACAGAAGTAATGTTTTTTTTTTCCAAACTCTCTTGATTCATATTTTAACATAGTTTTTTTAATAATAAAATATGTTGAGAATAAGCAAAGTCATGCAAAATATGTACTCTAAGAGTATAAGGAGAGGGTACTTGCCAGGACAGAAACACAATAGCTATTTTTACTGACATAATTTGGAAGGTTTATGCTTAGGGGCTTTTAAGTTGTATTTCCTTCATTACTTAGTGAGTCACTAACCTGAAACAAGCAGGTGCATAGCAGCTGTACCAACATCTGATATGCACTTTTCTTTTTTTTACGCATCAGCGACTAATGATGTCACTGGTCAGCCCCAGAACATGCACCTTCCAAGCCAGATTAGCAGTGGAATGATCCTACAATAACAAGCTCCTTTTTAACCACTAGAGCACTAGGTGATATATTAAGTCAACACCTGGGAAATTGGCTATTTGTCCCAGCTCTATTTTAAAAAGGCACTGGTAGGTACTGGTGTCCATTAGTGTTGGAACTGATGGCTGTTAGCAACAAATGTGGTCCAGCTTTAATCCCAGGGGTGGAATTGATCAGCTCCTGAACTTCTGATTCTGCTATTCTGTAGCAGAGCACTGCAAACATAATAATTTTACATTGTGTTTACACTCAATGGCATGTGAAGTCACAAATTACATGAAATCACATGTGACTTTACAGCACTTGCTGTCAATCTGGAGGCTAGAGCAGTGCTGATTCCAGCAAGAAGTATGTCACTATTACAAGTGATTTATTGATGCAGAGCTACAAGGGGGTGCTTCATTAGGTCTCTTCCCTCTTAGCTGGTACTTATTACACCAAATGATCTGGATTACAATTGAATTTACTGTGCAACAGTCAAATGTTCACACAAACAAGCTCAATGTCTTTCTTAATGATAACAATTCCATACCTGTCAAAATGTCTGTTGTGCCAATTTATTTCAATGTTGTGCATTGTTTAAATGTGACATAAAAAAATATGAACAAAACAAATCTAAAAAAAAAATATTAATGGTTAAAAATAGAAAAACAAAAATCAGCAAAACAAAATGTAAAGAAAGGGTAGCAGGGGATGAAGGAGTTATTTAGGACTGATTAGGAATAAAGTGGGTAAATCAGAACTATGTTTATTAATTAAGTAATTATTAAACTCACATATGGAGATCAAAGGTCACCTTTTGATCTGCACATAAATGAAAAAGGGGTAAATCCAATGGGGGATGGGGGATTTATCAAACTGGAACGGCAAACCAATCAGCATCTCTCTCCAGTTGGCTCATTTGAGATTTGAAAATGAAAGATAGATGCTGATTAGTTGGCATGCGCAGCTGCTCCAGATTTTGTCTGCTCCAGTTTTGATAAATTCCTTGACTTGCTGTCCGGAGCAGTTTCTTAATATTTGCACACACATGATAGAACCTGAATGTTTGGCTAGAAAACAGTTTTAAACCCCCCAAACAATTATATATTTTCGTAAGACAGGGGCCCTGTAGAATAAACAAAAATGCTAGTTGCAATTTTTTGTCTCACGGTATTTGTGCAAATGTTTATCAAACCAGTATTTTTAGGATAAAAAACACTAAAATAAAATTTAGTGCACAGACAGAATATAATACCCAATTGTTGGATAAAATACAAAAGATGGGGTCACGTCAAGTTTATAGATACCAAACATGTCAAGCCTTAAAATTGCGTTTGCCCATGAAACCACAAAAAACTACAATACCCCAAATTTTCCCATAAGGTGACGCTTTAAAAGCTTTTACTGCTCATCAGTTTAATGTTAACGGCGATTGATAGCCTTAGAATTATTGCTATCACTCCAACGTTTGCGTCAATGTGTAACGTGTAGGGCAATTTTTGCACTTAGGCGCACCCGACCCGTGTTTGCTATTTTTTGCATTTCGTAATTTTTTTTATGTGACTTTTTCTTTTAAACTTAACTTCATTGCTATCACATAGGGAGCTAACAAGCCCCCATATAATAGCAAATGTGATGTGACAGGTCCTCTTTATGGAGACATCAAGAGTCTTTCAGACCCCTAATGTCACCTAGGGACCCCAAAGAAGCTGATGAAGCAGCGATCTGCTTCATCAGCTTCTTCTCCTGGCTCTAAGAGCCGGAGAATGTGTTGTAATACACTGATGTAATACACACCGCTTCTGGGTCCAGTGATCGGAGGAGAGATCAGCGGCTAGAAGCTTGCTGATCTCCCTCCGATCGATGCGGGGAGACCTACTAAGTCGGTCCAGGGCCCGCACGGGGGACAGAGGAGCCCGGGTAGCCAACGGCGGAGGACACTGCTGCACCTTACAAGCGATCTGGCGGCTGTATAAACACCGGATCGTTGTATCCAAACAGAAATCACCTGCTGTTTAAAACGATACCAAGAACAAGGCTGCACCAGCAACCTTGGCTCTTGGTATAACTACTTCAGGACAGGATGTTTTTTTACGGTGGGTGGTCCTGAAGTAGTTAAGAACACTGTTTAATAGCTTCATCTTACACAACATTTCCACCTGTGATACCGAGCAAGTCCTGGTTGTAATTTTCACAAGAAGTGAGCAGCGGTGGAGATCAATGGTTCTCATTTGGCTAAAACTCAGACGTGCACTTTGAGCTTTTTTTTTTTATTCTACTACACATATAAATAATATTTATGTGATGTCCTTTTAATCAGAAGATGAATTTTTCCCCTTTTTTGAGAAAGGAGGCCTATTGTCTTGCAAAGAATGACAAAAGGAATATGCTACACGTTAAAATCAAGTTAGAGAGTTATGTTTGTACGAGTATTACACATTGTCCTTCACAAGCAGTAAACTAAGCTAGGGTAAAAGATACAGTTCTTGGGAGGTTAGGACAGAGAACAGTCATCCTATGAATGGCTTTGTCTAAACATGCATCCAACAAATATACATGTTTATGCCCTGTTCAGACACCAGATGTTCCAACCTTGAAGTGGACCTAAACTCAAAAAGTGAAGCTTTAATATGTTATAGGTAACATGGTGAAGTGTTAATTGTACCTAAGCAGTACTCTGAAAAAATGCACTATTAGACTTGAATTCCTTCTGAAAATTAGCAGTGCACTTCCTGGTATGTGAGTGTGCTTAGACACTCCTGTTCCTCTAGCCTCGTAGCTGTATATTTTCAGTGTAAATTGTAGGCAGTTTTACCAGATTCGCAATGAAATGAGGTGATTTAATTCTGTACTGCTTACTGTTCCCTCTGCTGGCTCTGAAATGCAGAAGCAAAGCCCTGCCTCTACCAAGATGGCCGCCTTTACAATGAGACAGTGCAAAACAAGGCATAGTAAGTCGGTAATGGGGAAGTCAGCTGCAGGGAGACCACTTTGGCTACAACAGGAGAAACAATAAAGATGATTGATAAAGCTGGATATGGCAACAATTATCAAGTCTATTGATATTTCCAAAGCAACTGTTTGTATTTTCTTTTCTGTAACTGATTTATCTTAAAATGTGAAATTACAAAACTATGAATCATCTTTTTTTTTTAACAATTTTAGAAACGTTTAATTTTAAACTGTAAATATATTTGATTGTGACAATCTTATTTTATTAAACAGTAAATGGTCTTTATGCTGAAGCATATTTTGAGTTTTAAGCTGTTTAATACTTGAGACAGAACATAGGCATATCAAAATAGACATATTGTGTGTTTTAAAACATTACTTTTTAACACTTTTAATGAGTGTACAGATACAGAATACTACACCAATACAAGTAGCTCATATAAGATCACAAGTTTCACAATAGTATCCAAATGCTTCATAAAGCGACTCTCCTTTTATACAATTTTATTTTAGTTGGTATGAGTCTTTGGGGTTTTCCCCAATTAGTTTTTCTATAATGCAAATTTTGTCTTTTTTCTTCAACTTGAGGTAGATCAACTTTTAGCTATACGTACCATAAAGGGTCAGGTATCTGCCTTGTCGGTCCTTTTTCAACATCCTCTTGCTTCTAATTCTTTGATTTGTACATTTATTCATGGAGTTCCAAGTGTGGCTCTTACAAAGAAATTACTCAGGTAGATTTAAACAGGGGAGACCTAATAAGGTCTCCCCTGTTTAAATCTACCTGAGTAATTCCTTTGTCTTTGTTATTCAAAAAGGTCGCCTTTCTTGTAGGGATGTTCCGATACCAAGTACCGTACTGGGTATAAGTACAAGTACATGTACAGATACTTTTCCAGCTCCAAGACTAGACTAGAGAAAAATGCAAAAGTTAGAAGGCAGCTGTAATTTTTAAGGAGCACGTGGGGCTCCTGAGATTTGTGCATCCCTGTTTTAATGTGTGATTTTTTTTAATAAACATATTAGGGATGCACCGATACCATTTTTCCAAGTACAAGTACTGATACTTTTCCAGGTGCTCACAGATACAAGTACTGATAAATTTTTGTTGTCATGTGACCGTTTTTCTAAAACAATACAGACTAATGATTTCAGAACAGTGGTGGAGCACCAGGGCCAGGTCCCAACTGCAACCACTGCAACTTTGGCAGTTCTTGTGAATCGGCTAGAAGGGTTTCTGAGTTGTCTGATTTGTTTTGTGGCAAACCCTATTTGGTTCTTCGTAAGGGCAAGGTTGTTTTATGACTACAGGTTTCCTTTTTAGTTTTTACTGAAGGTGGCTTCGACCT